CCCCGGACGAATCTGACCGGGATTTCGCCATGATCTGCGTGTATCTGTCCGCGATTACGTCCAGAGCGCAGTTGTCAAAAAAGTCCCTACTAGTGTGAATAGGGTACTATGAGACTGTACAACCCCAATCCCGATCCCAACAAGAAGACTTCATTTAAACATCTACTCCCGACCTGCTAGAGTGAATAGAGTACTATGAGACTGTACAACCCCAATCCCGATCCCAACAAGAACACTTAATTTAAACATCTACTCCCGACGAGTTTGATCTGCATTTCGGTACGGCACTATCTTGAGAATCTACTTTCGCGGATGAATGTGACCCGAATTCCACAACGATCTGGATGCATCTGGCCTTCAATTACGTCCAGAGCCCTGGTGTGAGTAATTCTCTGACAGTTTGTTACAGTCTCACTCCCAATCCCGACAAGAAACACTCACCATCTCCTTCGCACGAGATCTGATCCTCAGTGCTGTACATTGACGACCTTGATCAGTATCGACTTTCGCGGATGAATCTTCAACGCAATCCCGGCATGATCCGGATCTCTCTCTCTCTCTCTCTCTCTCTCTCTCTCTCTCTCTCTCTCTCTCTCTCTCTCTCTCTCTCACCCTTAACATGCCTCCCAGACGCACTTGATCGTCAGCGCTGTATCTTGAGAGTCGACGTTCATGATTCCCTTGGCTCCCTTAGGACCCTTGACTTTCAGAAGCGACTTGATGTTGACAGCGTTCTCCACGGCACACGCTCCACTGTCCAGACCGCCCCCCACGACTGCATAATCGGGCCCCAGCCGTAAAAACTTCTCGCTCACGTCATAGTTATCCGTGAAAGGGCCGTGTATCTCCGTGATCCTCTTGCTCGCGTTCGAGTCGAAGGTAAGTCCAGAAATGGAGCTGGTCAGTGTATGGCGGCCCACGACACCCGCGCCAAGATCCGCGAATCCCCGACCGATGGTCTCTGCTTTCTCCAATTGCCAGCCGTCCGTCGACTCCAGCTGCAGTTGTATTTCACAGTCGCTCTTGTGGCGGACTCCTAAGATCGCCGTGAAATTCCTGAATATGAAAGTGACCGCCTTCTTATCAACGGACACATCGTACACAGTGTTAGTTCCGTCGCATCCGGTGCCTTTGAACGAGACACCTCGAATGCTCACGTCGAGCGGGGCGTCCTGGGCATCGATATGCGCGACAGCGTTCAGAAGAAGAACCGCCATCGCCAGCCAGACGGCCATAGCCGCCATCGAATGCGAGTAGCACGGCATTATGATAGCCACCGACTTCACCAGCTCGATCTCTCTCTCCTCCTCCTCCTTCGCCTCTCTGTATAACTTCTCTCTCCTCTTCCTCGTCCCACAATCAGGAGCAAAACGACAAAACACTCCGACAATTGCTCACACTCCTACGCTGCGCGCCAATGCCCTCTCCCAAATGTTCTCCTCTTCGGTCGGTCTCACTCCGCTCTTCGTCTTCGTCCCTGACCAAAAAGATCTGGAGAGAGAGAGAGAGAGAGAGAGAGAGAGAGAGAGAGAGAGAGAGAGAGAGAGAGAGAGTTGTGTCTTTCTAGGCCCTCTCTTCCTATCCGTATGCGAATGAGGAGCAAGGAAATAACGTGGACGATGCTGAAAATCAATGGTGGTAGGCAGCAACGTTCCTCCTCGTTGGTACTCGGCACTTCCAACGTCGCCTTTTCACCCTCCCCACCTGCTTTCTATGACTCGGCGTCTGCTCCCCTTCGCAGCAAGACAAACTGGAGTCGCCAATTCCCTTACATTGACGTTCGTCTTCTCAATCCAGCGATTCTTAACGATGGGCCCCTGCCCCTTTATACAACAGAGTGAGCGAATAACAGCCACTTCGCTGTCAGGTGGGGTGATGCCGTCTTTCCCTGAATAGAACGCCAGTTAATACATGCCGTATCTGGACTGGAAGCTGCACAGAATGCAGATGTAATGACATTACCGGCCATTCCATTCTTGGCAAGACTATGGTAACCAGGGGTGTCCTCCGTCGGTGGCCCGGTGATGGGCCTCGCTGCACTACTCTCGACATGCACAAAAGACAAAAATCATGGCCGTGCATCTTTCCATATTCTAGGGGAAGATTCACTCTCGTTTTGCACATTTTGAGTTGTTAGAGTGTGGGTTTTTGAACAAAGAAGAGTCAGAAGCTAAACCGGCTGATGCTGCCGGGATAACTCCGGGTTGAATTGTGAGGTCCCCGGCCTCGAGACAAATGTGTTCTTTTGGAATATAAATG